TTGCGGGGAACTCTGCAAAACTTCGCACAGGCAGCCGGTGCGTTGGCCAGTTATTTTATTTTTGAAAACACTACAGTCGCTGCTTGCGTGAGGTGTTCAGTGCAGTTTCGGTATTTTGCTTTTCGCTCTCCGCTGTGCTGTTGATATTTTATCGTATAGTTAAGCTTCCTCATAATTAGTATCATCGTAGCTACAACTCTTTAACACTACTCTCAGTTTGGGCGTCAGTTTTACCTCGCATGTTTCACACATCGCGGAAGGTATGTACTATATTAGGTGAATAACCCTCCCTCCCTTCGTTTCAGTTTACTTGGCAAGCCTATGCGATTTATGCGTTGTTTTACACTCTTTTTACAAGGTTAAAGCTACAGCTACAATATGTGCCTCGACGAGATGACAGCTGAACAGAATACCAAGTATCAGTGCTGTTAAGCTGGCATCTTTAGTACCTTGCGAATAGATTTAACCTGAATCGGGAACGTCCTCCGAATGTCCCGGACCAGCCAATTGCATGCAGGCAGATAGTTATGCGTTTTGTATATATGCAAAAACACATATTAAGATGACCCCGATGTGTGTGCATGTGTGTGTGTATGTATGTATGTATTATGTGTGTATGTGTATGTGTGCGTGCGTGTGTGTGTGCGTGTGCGTGTGTGTGCGCGTGCGTGTCCGGGTATTTCGGCACCCAAGCAAGCTCTGGTGCCAAAATTTTGCGACTGGCTTCACCGGCCAAGTGCCACCCCAGGACCGCGGTACCAGTCCTCAAGCACGTCTTGGCCCCGCGTACGAGCGCTTCAACGTTTTGACGGGAAGATCGTTAACTTGAGAACCAGAAAAGCTAGAAAGCTGAAATTTTGGAATTATGTTCCCCGTCCATATGGGACTCAAAGATTTTAAATTCAGCCCCCAGGTGTGCGTAGCTCCCGCGTACGGCCCCGTGAGGGTTCCTGGCGCAAAAATCGCTAGCTCTGGAACCAAGAAAGCCGGGAGGCTGAAACTTTCAAGAAATGCTCCCAACTCATCTACAACTTAA